CACCAAGGACTTGCTGGAGAGGAGAAGAGCACTGAGGCTGGATCCGAATGCAACACATCTCGAGCGACTGCTAGCCAATACCAGTTGCAGAACAGCTTTGCAAGAAGATCTTTGAAAGCACAGGCGATCAAAACTTTTAGAAGTAGCGCAAGGAAGGAAAAGTCTAAAGAAGTACCACCGGGGCCTTTTCGACTGTCGCATTCCGCTGACAACATTACTAAACAAAGATGGGACTCGCACATCTTCCCGACAAAAGACGGAATCGATCACGAGGAGATTCTAAACCAATTTCTTTCGCTCGTCAACACCCGTTTCAAACCCCGTTATTCCCACTGGAGAAATACCACAACGGATTCCTACCTGCTGAAGTACGCGCCGCAATCAAGACCATGAAGGCAGCCACGGCTCCGGGACCGGACCACGTTTTGGCCGATCTCTGCTGAAGTACGCGCCGCAATTAAGACCATGAAGGCAGCCACGGCTCCGGGACCGGACCACGTTTCGGCCAACCTGAAGTACGCGCCGCAATTCAGACCATGAAGGCAGCCACGGCTCCGGGACCGGACCATGTTTCGGTCGACCTCTTAGCCCTCGAGCTGGAGCACATCGCCTACACGAGATACTTGCGGAACATCTAACGTCCTACCTTTAAAAGGGAAGGATTCCTTACCAGTGAAGAACCTCTCGAACAATCCTTCTTCTTAAGAAGGGTGATAAGGAGGATCTTCGGAACAGCCGCCCAATAGGCCTGCTGAGCATGGCATGCTTTACAAGCTCTTTACGAAGACTATTCTCGCTCGCGTATCAAGGACACTGGATGAAGCCCAACCTGTATTGACAAGCTGGATTTCGCCAGGGATTCAGCTGCGTGGATCACATCCAGACAGTTTCGAGGATCATCGAGGTTCGCCGAGAGTACCGTCCACCTTTCGTCCTCACCTTCGTCGACTACGAGAAAGCGTTTGACAGCGTCGAGACTAATGTCATATAATGAGAAGGACAGACGACGATGGACACTGAGAACTCTGGAATGGATTCCTCACGAAGCAAAACGTCCTTGAGGGAGGCTACCGACCAGGTGGGCTAACATGTTCATTGCACGGATGGACCAGCTGAATTCTCAGCTGGTGACGAGTAAGGACCTGGACTTGCGAACGTCGCCGCCGTACTTCAATACCAATATCGTGGATGACACCGAGAGACAGAAATGGATGGAAACAGTGCTGTGGCCTGCACGACAAGTGAAGACAGGCCACCTAAGTATC